GGGGTTAACCAGACCCGGAAAAAGCTCGTCGGCAGTAAGGAATTGGCCTACCCCTACTACAGTCAAATCCTTACGTGGCTTTCTTGGCCTTACAGGGTTCTACCGCAAATTTGTTTCCGGCTATGCATCCATTGCCCATCCCCTCACTGAGCTCCTTAAGAAGGATAAATTTTGTGGCATGATATAGCTTCTGAGGCTTTTACATATGAAGAGCATTACTACTGCACCTGTTTTGGCTATTCCAAAATTCGACTCTCTGTTCACTGTTCAAACAGATGCTTCAGGAATAGGCATGGGGGCAGTTCTCTCACAAAGGGTCATCCAATTGCTTATTTTAGTAAGCAATTTTGTCCTAAACTCTGCAATTCCTCCCCATATATACGCGAATGTGTTGTGCCATAACTAACTGCCGTTAGAAATGCGCCATACCTCCTAGGTCGCCATTTTGTCATCAAAACAGATCAACGATCCATTAAGGAATTGTTATCTCAGACACTTCTCACACCGGAGCAACAAAAGATCTTTTCAAATTGTTGGGCTTTGACTTTGAAATTCAATATCGACCTGGAAAAAAGCAATGCAGCAGCTGATGCTCTCTCTCGACTTTGACTTCTACTCATCCAGCCACAAATTCGCTTATGGTGTTTGTCTACCACATGTCAAAATTCTTGTCCGATCTCAAATCATCCTTACAAAGTAATCACGAGTTTATCACTCTCAGAGACAAGATCCACGCTGCCCCACAAGATTTCCCTTTTTTTCATTAAAGGAGGATCTCATTTCTTCAAAGACAAAATATGGCTACCTCCTAGTGCTCTTTCATTCCACTCTTCACTACGAGTTTTCATTCCACTCCAATGGCTGGTCACACGGGGATTTCACGGACCTTGAGTAAGCTAATGAACTAATTTCCATGGCACACCATTCGCAGAGATGTTAAGGCATTGTGTTGAACATGCACTCACATGTCATGCAAACTAAACTCCCTACACACGGCCAATCTGGTTTACTTCAACAATTGCCCCCTTCTCGCTGTTGGGCAGATCTCTCACTTGACTTTATCATTGGCCTTCCTCCTTACAAGGGATTCACCACTATCCTGGTTGTCGTGGACAGGTTCTCTAAGGGCGCTCATTTTGGAATGCTCCCAAGATCTTTCACCGCATCCAATGTGGCACAATTATTTGTTGACATAGTTTGCAAACATCACGGTTTACCACACACCTCATTTCTGATCGTGATCCCATTTTCCTGAGTATTTTTGGCAGGAAACTGTTTCGCCTAAGTGAGCACTAAGTTGGTATGTCACTGCCTACCCCCCCAAAACGGATGGTCAAAAACCGAGGTCACCAAAAGGTATGCAGCAGTAACCTTCGCTGCTTTGTCCACACAAAGCCGTCCCTTTGGGGCAAGTTTCTTTCTTGGGCAGAATGGAGTTTCAACACTTCAGTCAATGCGTCAACTGGATTCACACCTTTTGAGGTAATGTTTGGTAGCAAGCCCCCACTCATGCCTCCTTTCCTTCCAGAAGAAACTTCTAATGCAGCGGTGCAACACGAAATCTCCACCCGTGCTGAGATTCTTCAAAAGCTTGCCTCTAATTTGCAAAAGGCTCAAGCGACAATGAAGAAATGGGCGGACCGACACCGACGAGACTTACAGTTTGAGGTAGATGATTGGGTTTATATTCGTCTTCGCCCTCGTCGTCAATCCTCTGTGACAGGCACTACCCATGGGAAACTTACAAAACGGTTTTTTGGCCCTTTCAAAATCACGAGGAAAATTGGCGAGGTTGCGTATGAAGTAGACCTTCCCCCTACTGCCAAGATCCACAACGTCTTCCATGTTAACATCCTTCGTCCTCACAAAGGGCCACTACCTTCTTCCCCCTTGTCACTCCCACCTGACATTGAGGATAATCAGCCTGTGTTAGAACCAGCTGCCATTCTGGATTGGAAATGGGATAATTCTAATTCTCCTCCAAAAATTCAAGTCTTGATTCAGTGGCAAGGCCTACCTCTTGAGGAAGCAAGCTGGGAACCTTGGCTACAGATTCAACAACAATTCGACCTTGAGGACAAGGTGTTTCTCGAACCAGGAGGAGATGTAAGGGCTGAAGGGCCCATTCCCCTCACTCCTTCCAGAAGCCCAAACACAGCTGTTACTCCAGCTCCAGCTGTTGAGAAACCGTTAGAGGAGAGAGCCAAAAGAACCACAAAACAGCCACGTTACCTAAAGGATTATATGGTCACGTGTCCAGCAACCAGTAAGAAGGGGAATTCGGTTAGCAAGAAATGATTGGAATTATTTTGTAATTTTTCCTTTATTTGTTATATGCACATGATCAGTACTGCAAGGCAGAGCCAAGCGCATATATAATACAGTATTGTAATAGAGAGGGGAGGACAATAGATAACAGAAAAAATTCCCTCTGAAATTTTCTCTCTTCATCTCTGAATATTCTCTTTCCTCTGCCATCACCCTTTTCTATTTCCTGCAGCATCCTTACATCACTCCATGGCATGACGGCGCTTGTGACAGGAGGCTCTCGAGGCATCGGGTTCGTCATCTCATCATATCATCCTTTTATCTTTTTCCTTTTATTTCTCATCTTTCTTCTTCCTTTCCAATGTCTTAGGCATGCCATCGTTCAGGAATTGGCAGAGTTTGGAGCAGCCATTCATGTTTGTTCACGGAAGCAAGATGACATTGATAAGTGTTTGGAAGAGTGGAAAAAGAAGGGATTCAACGTCACCGGTTCAGTCTGTGATGTCAAACATCGCGACCAACGCCTCAAGCTCATGGAAACGGTTTCCTCTATCTTCCACGGAAAGCTTAACATTCTGGTAAGATTCAACCACCCTTCATAATGAGATTAGTTGTAGTCTGAAGCAAGATGAAAAAATTATAATTAAGATCAGTTGGACATATATAATGAGAGTGGTAAATCTTAGTTGTAGTCTATTATTAATAGGGTGGTAGTTCATCTGAAATTCGTTTCCTTTCAAGTACTCTAGTCTATTACTTGTGTTGTTTTAGGAAAACGTTTCTTTAACAACTATATTTTGCCAACTTTTTGACAGTCAGTCTTGTTTCATTCGTTGGTTTTAAAATGTTTTTTTAAAAAAGTGAAATTTGTTTAGAAGAGCAATTTTGGAAAGAATTTGGATAAAAACTCCTTTTGGCAGTTTTTTGTTTCAGATTCACTCTTTTTCGCAACTTAGTTTTCTCAACTCTCTCTCCACAATTGAAGCTTCCATCTCTCTCCACCATTGAAGCATCTATCTCTCTCCATCGTTTCGATCTTCTTCGTTCCTTGATTTTCTTCACTCTCTGTCCACCATTGAAATGTTGTTTCTCTCTCCCCTTTGAGTTTGAGTTCGACTCTTCTTATTTCGTTTCTTGGGTCATTTGGTCACTATCGAGGATTTCGTCTCTCTCTTTACCCATTTTCCCTTTTTTTGATGGTGTGATCGTGGGCTCGTTGGCGGTATATATCTCCCGTTATGGAATTTTGTTGATTTTGACGTGCATTATCGTTGGCGGCATTTCCGTGGTTGTGTAAGTCTTTGGTTTTTGTCTCCCATTGTGGTTGGCGGTATTTCTCTCAAGGTTTGGGCTTTTTCGCATACACCGTCGAGGTTGGTATCACCAAGGTTTGGGCTTTTTCGCACACACCATTGATTCATTACTAAACTTCACATTACAAGTTGTGGAAACCATCAACCATGACCAACAAGGGTTCTTCATTCATAAAATCTTAAAAACACACTCATAACAAACAAAAAAAAATCATGGGGAGCGTGGTTGCCACACCTGCGTAGCACAGATCAACTTTCAGTAGAAAACTACAAATTTAACCTGGTAATCGATTACAACCTTTCTTAAGCGATTACAAGTGCATGTCTTCAGTGCGTATGGTGCAAGACCTGACCTGCATTACTAAGATCACCCAGGATTGGTCTTCCCTACATAGAAGACTTACCAAACTTCACACTACAAGTTGTGGAAACCATCAACCATGACCAATAAGGGTCCTTCATTGACAATATCTTAAAAAGACACTCATAACAAACAAAAAACAATCATGGGGAGCGCAATTGCCACATTTGGGTAGCGTAGATCAACTTTAAGTACAAAACTGCAATTTTAACCTGGTAATCGATTACAGCCTCTCTATAAGCGATTACAAGTGCATGTGTCCAGTGTGTATGGTGTAGTAATATGTTAGGTCATTGAATTGTTGAGAAAAAATGTCAGTTAGGTGCTTTCATGTAAGTTAGATGAGCTCCATAAGCATTTCTGGCCAATTTCTGCCCTGGTAATCGATTACTAGAGGAAAAATGGTCATTTGTACAGAAACTTCAACTATACTCCCCACCTGGATGAACAACACTCTTTAACTTTGTTTTTTTGATCTTTGCTACTTGTTTTGTTCTTAACTTTCTCCATCGAACTCCAAATGACTTGATTCTTGTTTTGTTGGAATCTATACTCAAAGAGCTTTCAAATAGGTGTCAAGTGCACCAAAACAATTTACCCCACTCAATTATGGACAAAATAGTTCATATAGGTGTTTAAACCAAGGTAGGTGAAGTCCATATAAGTGTTTGGCTTGTGCTATTAGAATCACATTACACCTTAATTATACTACTATTTTACCTTGAACTATGGACATTTTATAAAGAAATAAAATAAATTAGAATAATATAAGAAACATGAGACAATAACGTGAAAGTAAACTAATTTATGAAGCTTATAAAAACGTTGCTTTTGGGAAATTAACTGCATCTACTAAAGTGGTCTAAAAATTATGAGTTAGTAATCATTTGAAAGATCTTTGAGTCTACATTCCAACAAAACAAGAATCAACTCATTTGGAGTTCGGTGGAGAAAGTTATGAGCAAAACAACCAACAAAGGTCAGAGGTGGTAGAAATATATAAAACGTTAACTTTAAGGAATTAAATGCACCTACTCAGATGTCCAAAAATTATAAATTAGTAGTCATTGGAAAGATTTTGGAGTCTACTTTATAATAAAAAAGAATCACATCATTTAGAGGTATGTGGAAAAAGTTATGATTAAAATAGTCAGGAAAGGTCAAAGTTAACAACATGTTATCTTATACGTGTATTTTTCCCTCTTGTTAACAGATCTATTATTTATTGAAAATGCCTTTTAAAATTTGTGCATTGTAACAACATTAGATGACATATTTATTAATTAATAAAATGAAAAATTTTCCTATGAGACTTCGAGAAAGGGTGTTACAAAAATGGTCATGCACCCCACCTCAATTAGAGAAAACCAACTAAATGGAATTTTTTTTTTTTGAAGAAATTAATGACCTAACCTCATTATTGGTGCAGGGAGCATACCCAATAACATTAAACTCACTCACCCATCTCAAAAAATTTAAAAATTCAACAAAAATAGAGCATGGGGAGTAGTGTTCATCTAGCTGGTGAGTACAGTTGAAGTTTTTGTACAAATGACCATTTTTCCTCTAGTAATCGATTACAAGACCCCTGTAATCGATTACTAGAGGAAAAATGGTCATTTGTATAGAAACTTCAATTGTACTCCCTAGGGTTATTTTTATGTCCTTATAGGTGATTTTTTCCAGTTTTTGCATGGATGTCTCATGTTGTTGATCATTGATGGTGTCAAGTGCATCAAAACATAATTTATCCCACTCAATTGTGGCAAAATAGTTCATATAGGTGTTTAAACCAAGGTAGGTGAAGTCCATATAAGTGTTTAGCTTGTGCTAGTAGAATCACATCATACCTTAGTTATACTACTATTTTACCTTGATTACAAGTGCATAATTCTTGTGTCAATGGTGCATGACCTCACCTCTCAACCTATAAACACCCTTAGTGGGTCTTCCATCCACATAGGACTCACCAAACTTTAAATTGCTTGTTGTGGACACCTTAAACCATGGCCAACAGGGGGATCAATCCACAAAACTTTGAAAACACATTCGTCAGGACTTCTAGTGAGTGCTTAAGCCATGTGTGGGTAGCAATCCTCAACTTTTGGTGCAAATGGGGATTTTTCCGCTGGTATGTAATCGATTACCAGTGCATCATTCCTGTGTCAATGGTGCAGGACCTAATCTCTCAAACTATAAACACCCTTAGTGGGTCTTCCCTTCACATAGGGGTGACAGAACTTGACATTTCTTATAACATTCACAAAGGTTGAATCTTAAATAATACTATCAAACAACAAATGGAATGAATATAACAATTACAATTCTAATAACCACTTTCTTTATTAACATTCAAAATAATTGTTGCAATACATATACAACTATATCTATACTTGAACATCTACCAATATTGCATTATTCACAAATTACATAAATCAGTCATGTTTGGGACTATTCCTACCAATCTTAAGGTTATCATTAGTTCTAAAAACCATCCAAACTGCGTCTTCAAAATAATGGACTTGTGCTCCTCACTCAAAATTCCATTCAAAGTAGCAACACACTTCGTTTTCAATGAATGACGAACAAACAACTGCAAAAAAAAAATTAATATTTCTTGTTACAAATAACCAACAAAGGTCACAACCCAAAAGTAAAAACCAACAAAGGCCAAAAGCAAAAACCCAACCCCAAAATACGAATACGGAAAAGTGAAAAACTGCATACCCATTCGAAGAACCAATGTCAGCGGACGAACCCATTGCACAAAAAAGCTCAGAACTTCGACACAATCGACACTTAACGAGACACTTTGATCAGACCAACCATAGAGATCGTTGAACGTAAATCATTGAAATCACGAACTCGAGAGAGAAAGAGAGACTTCGAGGCCAGCAACGACGAAACTTCCTCAACGTCGAGAGAGATTGTTGAACGTCCACTTCAAGGCCTTCACCAAATGGAGAGAGAAGTTGAAATGAAAACTAAAAACCTAAAATGGAGAGAGGAGAGAGTACTGAACGAAGAAGGTGGTTTCGGAATTTTCAAATATGAAACACTGTCCCCTTTTCAAAATCAGATTTCTTTAAAAAAAATTATTTAAAATGACCCAATACAACGCTGACACATGTCAGTTATCAAATTGTTGTCAAATAACGTTGTCAACATATCGCGATCCGTTTTTTTAATCACATCACCGTTAAATGTTTCTTTTTTCAAACAGGGTATATGAGTAATTCTCGATGTGAAGGTCTCAATGGAAGAAATTGTCATCAAACAAAATAATATTATCTTTGAGATCTAGTACTAAGGATAGATACATAAGTTAAGTGTTTTTTTTTTAAATTTATCGTGTGAAATTGACTTAAACTTATATACGTGGATCAATCTTTTTAAAAGTTTAATTATAATTTTTTTTATAATTAAATATCTTGAATAGATTACAAAATTATTGAAGTTTTAATTATTTTAAAAATATAAACTCAATTGAATTTTTATTAAAAGTTTTGTGCTATTAAATGTTTAAAATACTTTTTTATTTTTGTCTAAATATTCTAACATTTAATTTGGTCTAAATATTAATGAGGAGATTACTGTTATTTTCATTTTCTTGATAACTTGTTAATCAGCTCACTTCTTTCTTCTCTATAATTTCTTGCTCAGTTAACTAGTTCTTAGAATGAAAAGAAGTGAGATGACCTAGAAGCCTCCATTATTGTTGATTTTGTGATTCATTTTTCATTGTTATATTTGAGGTGATTTGATATGTGGTTGTCTCTTAGGTGAACAATGCAGCGGTAGAAATAACAAAGAACATAGTAGATTACACTGCTGAAGATGTATCGACTATAATGGCTACCAATTTTGAGTCTGCTTTTCATTTGACTCAACTTGCACATCCACTTCTTAAACAATCTGGATATGGGAGCATAGTATTCATTTCATCCATTGCAGGTGCAAAAGCTATTCCAGGTTTATCTGCTTATGCAGCCGCTAAAGGTATCATACTAATTTCTTTTTCTAATTTTCCTCATATATTTGCGAATCTAACTTGTTGATCTGAACGAAATATATAATTGGATTCAGGAGCCATGGATCAATTCACCAGGAACGTAGCATTGGAGTGGGCAAAAGATAACATTCGTGCAAATGCTGTAGCACCTGGACCAACTTGGACTTCAATCTTTGAATCTTTCAGGGTATGTTTGATATATGAAATAGATATTCTTTCCCAATTAAAATTAAGAGCAAGATTCAAATTAGTATTGAATCACGTCCAGATGTATTTTATGTTGGAATGCATGATTACCACAAAGAAACTTGACATAGATTTGACACCATAAACTCTGATTAAAATTATATAAAATATTACATTCAAGCCAAATTTAATAGCTATAAAATAATTCCTAGTAAATAAGCAATTATAGAAGAGCTAGTTTACAACATTGGAGTAAATTGCACCTTCTTCAACGTGTTTATACCCTTATGCTAATGATTTATTCATTAGGTAACTAAACTGAAATATAACCATGAGATTAGATTTATTAGTATATTCCTTCATTAGTTAATAAACTTCGTAAATTATGGAGCATCGATCATTAGGGTACTTGTGGAACTCTGTCTTACGTTTGAAAATGGCATTAACTGTGTGTAATTTCGAATTCCACACATATGTTATGTTTTTGTTTGCTCATATAATAATTGCTATTCTTACAGGAAAATATTGGACCGAAAGAGTGTGATGCTATTGTTACATCCACGATAATTTTGGGTCGTGTAGGAGAAACCAACGAAATATCACCACTCGTTGCTTTCCTTTGTCTTCCAGCTGCATCATACATCACTGGGCAGATTTTCTATGTTGATGGCGGTTTCACATCTTAAATTTCAATTAGTGACTTCGGAATTAAATAAGAGTCACTTTCTGGTGTTCAACTTTCATTCTCCATATTTCATATATGTATCGTTTGAATCTTGCTCATTGGTTCGCCATCTTTTCCATTTATCTTAAGTTCTTAAGCATTAGTAAAAAACTATTATGAAGATATATATTAGTGATTATTATATGTCATGGGTGTTTATATTTTTGTATATTTATTTGTAAACTTCCTTCCGATACTTTTAATTATGAAAAAATATTGTTACGAAACTGCTTATATATATATATATATATATATATATATATATATATATATATATATATATATATATATATATATATATATATATATATATATATATATAAACATCATC